CTTGCTGTGAATACCACGAGAAACATAAGTATTAAATGAACACTAATTATTCTCATTGATAATCAGTTTTTATAATTTATTGTATTAAATATAATACAATGTATAAGCATTTATAAGAAATTATATTTTAAAAGAGAAAACATTGTAACTAATGAGATGTAAATAGTTGGTAATGTTTGTAAAGTTTGGAAATGTCTGGTTTTATTATTGACAACTGCAGTCGGAGGTCATGTTCTGCCTTCTGTGTATTGAGATTTGAGACGGTTGGGGCACTTCGTGTCTTCGTTTTAGTTGCAGTGTAAGCCGATAATCGTAACTCGCATTTTCATAAGATTCATTTATTTTAAATCAACAAAAAATCAAAATAATAATTTCTTATGGGCCGTGATGCCCATAGAAGGGGTTCGTGTTGCTCTTAGGGTACCGCGGTGCACAGTTTGGGAACCGCTGCAGATCTATGGACTATGGTGTATTGGTATACCTACCTATACAGTATACGTACAAATGTACAATGATATAATAAGCGGGAACGCGAAAATCACTTAATTAAGATATAAGAGGCGGTTTTCCTTGACACGATACCTACTGTCCTACTATGATAGAAAATATTATAAAGGTAAAGTGGTGGAGAATGGAGATTTTAAATCACCTCTGTTCGGGTTAAAAAGCAAAAGATAAGTTTCCCTGTAGCGTCTGGACGCGGCGTCTACCGTCACTACCGGTCTGGACGTAGGTCGGCGTCTAACGCGGCCGCGCTGTTCGCCTGTTCCTCTGTTTAACGCTGCAGGGAAACCGTAGCTAAAGACGGATATCCAGGGACCAACTAATCAAATTAATCAATTTCAATATATTCGTGTAGGCCTTGCATCGGGCACAAATAGCGAGTATTACCTATATTTATGATTTGGTATACAATATAATATAATATTATATTTAAATCCAACATAGGTTGAATTAAAATAGGTGCTGTTCGGACGAGTCATTCGATAATTTTCCACAACTATTAATAATTGTAACGCACTAACGTGTTTGGACATCAAACCGACCTTGAACGGGAAGCTGTTCTAGCAGAGGTAATACCGTAGCAGGTGAAAGCGTTACCTATGAGTTTATCACCATTTAGCTGATTTATATAATAATATATTGTAAACAGACACAAGCACAAGACAACTCGACAAATTCGTCTTCTTTCAGTGTTGTTGTGGAATTAACATCATAATATACCCACTATGTGCATAAGATTGTGCAAACACAACCGGTCTAGGTCTATAACCTGCGTCGTATATATTATTATCGTGCCAATACGGACGAAGAATATATTTTACTAGAGCGCCGGGACAGCTATAATATGCCCGCCAACGTAATGTCATTAATTAATATAGGTACCTAATAATTATTAATATCGTAGGTACACTGAAAATTCAATTTCGATCAGTTCAGTGCACTGATGGCGTCATTCCAGGTTTTTAATAAGAAGGGGCCAAAGTTTTGACCTGCACATATAATTGAATAAAATTACCACTCACCAGGGCCGGCGCTACAAATTGCGGGGCCCCGTGCAAAATAGTTTAAATAAAATAATACACAACAATTAATATTTAATACATATTCTTTATTTTTTAGTTCAAATAAACAAAATAAATGTGTATAATATTATGTTGATATTATGTATTATTTATTATATATTTAAGAAGGATTTTTTTCTTGCCTTTTCACTTGCAAAATCATTTATAATCGTATCGACCGTATCGTGGTTACTATACTCTGTTCAAAATAAGATCGTGACCCGGCGGCGACCAGTTTTCGTCGGGCGGCGGTCAGACATATGGAAAGATGCCGTCCCCACTACAGCGACGCGTCGGGCGCAGCCACGGAACGAAGCCACGCCCATGCGCACAACTCGGCCGCCGGGTCACGATCTTATTTTGAACAGAGTATAGTTGATAGTTTCAGCTATTTCTTTTTCAATGGATATTGTTGAAAGTCCAGTGAGTCTTGTTTGTGACATGGTGCTCCTTAGATATTTCTTAATTAATTTTAATTTCGAAAATGATCTTTCAGCAGAAGCCGATGTGATAGGTACAGTTAGCATTATTCGTGGTGACACTGATTTGAGGTAGGTTTTGTTTCTTCATATTTTTGAGAATTTTATGGGCTGAATAGGGAGTGCACCATCTGCTTTTATATTATAATCTGTGGTATAGCTTCTCTATATATTATTACTCTATGCGATATGCCGAATAGTGGGAATGTCACCATGGTGGGAGAGAACAGACGAGACGTCGCGTATTACTATATCGATGCTTGGTTCACATAATATGGACTCTTGTTGGCCGTAGTATGCAATCGATTATCGAAAGTCGATACCACGAAAATGCCCATAATTATTTTAAATTGTAAATTTATAAAATTTATAATATTTAGTCAGTAATGATTAGTTTTTCTGGAGTGAGCCGGCTTCCGCGGGGCCCCACATTTGCGCGGGGCCCTGTGCAGGTGCACTGGTTGCACCGCCCTTACACCGGCCTTACACCGGCCCTGCCACTCACGAGTTAATTTATATTTTTATCTCAATACGTATAATATGTAGGTAATTATTTTTACCATTAGACATTGAATTCATTTTTACCAAAAGAATTGCATTTGATAGTTAGTGTCATTGTCATTGTATGTGTAGAATATAATAATATAGGTAGGTACTATAAAAGTTCTAAGTTCCTACCCACGAATAATATTTTTAAATTACAATCAAATAACTAATATCTTTATTCTTCGTTTAAAAGTCTGATTTCGTCCAAATTTGAATTTAAAATATCTATAAAAAAACTGAATAATATCTTTATTAGTTTTTTTTGTTACAGTATGAACTACTTATGAGAAACTTTGTTTTACATTTTCAATCTTTATAGTTATAAAAATTGAACATTATATAAATTTTTAACTAGAAAGGTACAAAAAGATTTACAAATTTTCGAGTTTTTGAAAAATGTTGTGAAAATTTGAAACGTTAACTATAAATTCGTATATAATATGTATCTTTAATATTTTTCAATTATTGAAATAAATTTATAAGGAACCTTGTATTACATTTTAAAATTTTAAATGTTTTTGGATAAATAGGCAATAGTTCATAACGTGTTAATACATATTTTGGTGAAAATATCAAGTATCTAGGCGGTTATTATCGTTTTGAATTTCAACAAAATAAGAAAATCATTAGCATTATACAATTCGTTAGTTTATGGGTGAATTTCCAGTGCCCAGTGGTATCTAATGTCGAAAAAATAATTAATGACTTAATAACTTCAACGCTTATAAAAAACTTTCAGGTAAACTTTTTTTTTTAAAGGTAAGAAAACTTATAAGGAATATTTTACTAAAATTTCAAATCTCTTATATATATACAATTTTTTTTATAAATATTATTTACCGACAATAATTGTAAAAAAACAAATAAAAATTGAAATGTTCTTATACCTATGAATAGCTCAAAAAGAGACAAAATATTTTGATTTAGGTACACCCATTTAACGCATTTAATTATGGAAACTACTGAGAACTTTCAATTTTGACCTCTTGAATGCACCAACTATATTCATTTTCACATAAGAAAACTTAATGAAGTTGAAAATAAAAGTATTATTTTGACTACTTATCGTGTATACTGTATACACAGACATAAATAAATAAAACAAACACACATTGTTATAAAGTCAATACATTCATCGCTCCACTCAGAATCTAAAACTATCTGGTTGCGTCTCCTATTATATTATGTAGGAAGTTTTGTACCTACTTGAAATGAACACAAATTTTCTCAGTCATGTTCGATTGTAAACCTAAAAAGGAAAGATGAAGACTGGTTAGTTACAAGGGAAACAAATTTGAAAAATACTGTGAACAGTGGTGTCATTTCAGTTTTTGAAAGGAGGAGGAAAAAGTTTTACCGGCCCATTAAACTGAAGAAAAAAACCATTCGCTTCAGTAGCAGTGGTAGCATACTATTCATTTATACACCTTACATATTTTAACTCAATAACAATTTACATTGTATATATTTATTATCATAGGAAAACTTCCCAATATTTGGGAGGAGAATTCAAAAATCGAAGTATATCTATATTTATTCTATATTTATTTATATCTTTATTTATAATTGACATCACAGTTTAAGATTTATCTTGCTATCTTTAAATTACAAGAGTTGTAATATCCTAGACTTCAATCCAGGGACTATAGTTTACGACATTATTAGTTTATAATTATTTAAATATCAGCAAGAAGTGGCCCATCGGCCATCACATATAACTAGCTCAATATCAGCTCATAAAAACCTTGGCACTAACTCATGAATGGCAGGATACCAGCAACTTGTCAACAAATGGGGGGGAAGGGCAGTAAAATCTCCCATAATTTCACTGACTTTAAATCCATAAAAAAAGTGTTGAAAACTACCTATTTTGTGTTGGGAGTCAAAGAGTAGGTACTAAATAACATTTTTATGAGAGATTGGAGTAACGCAGCACTTAAAATTGTTTGCCTAGAGTAATATTACAATATATAATATAGTTAGCTCTGCGGTTGCATGAACCTTGTACTCACATGTAGTACACAGACGTTAAGCAGTGGCACCGACACGCAGTTTAATTGAACTGACTTGAAAATTGGGTGGATAGTTGGTTAAAATAATAGAGTATACTGGCCAAGTCTTTTTGCTGAAATTTTAATAAACAGAGAAATGTCATAAAATTATTTATATAATATAATTAGTCAAGCACGTTTAACAGTTGTTTGAAGGGGTGCGTGGGTCAACCAAATTATTAAATATTAACTGTCAGTTTCAATTTCATTTGATACACCGCACTGGGACTCAGTGAAATAATTTTATAATAATATTTTTTCATAAATTTTATATTGAAACAAAAAAATTAACAACATTGTAATAAGAATAAAAAAAAAAACCTCTAACAGATGCAATAGTCGTGATTGCATATGCCGGGTTACTGACTTAAAGTATCTGCCATGTGTTGTGCAGAATATTTTGGTTTATCTGTGACAACCATTTTCAGGAAAACATCAGTTAAAAACAGATTTCTAAGGTGTTGTTCAGATTTCATAGCAATGTTCCTGATACGACTGCCTCTTTTTCCCATCACCAGCTTCTCTATTCTTGGTGTATTGCAATGAACTAATACAACAATATGTATATTTCCTATGTATCATTAAATAAGTGTTGTATTATTTTATTACTATACTTATAAGTGTATACATGTTTAGAAAAAAGCCAGAATTTACCTTCCCTAGAAACTTCATAATATTCCATTTCCACTTTTAAGTTGTACGGAACTTCATTGGGTAAAAAATCATACAATGTTGACTCTATCATGTGTAGTACTAATTTGTGGTCTTCTTTATCAGTCAATACATCTTTGGGAAATATCCAAGGAGATGGTTTGCTTTTTTGTAACAGGTAATCCTAAAAGCAACGAAATATACACAATTTTACTATATAATTAGAATTAGTTATATAATATTATTATTCATTATGTATTTATGATTTTTGAATTTTTCATTAATTGGATAGCCCAATCCTCAAAATGTTATAGATTAAAGTATTAAACAACAAATTATTATTAACTTGTAAATGTTTTTTGTGTACATGAAAATAACAAATATATTTTAGAATATAATTCTATAACACCACTCAAGTAGGACCCATATGTAACTGTAATAAGTTCAAATTTAGGTTTTAAAAATTTACTACCATTACCTGATTATGATAGAATGAACAATAATTATGTTTATTTCTAAATTAATAAATAATTCTATTGATCATCCTAAGTTACTATCAAAACTCCCTTCTATGTACCTTCCAGACCAAGTAGATTCAATGGTACGTTCTATACACCAATAAATCATCAAAACTATGTAATTAGAATTATAAATAATTGTAATATCTCGTTGTACATGCTCTACCGCAGATTGTAATCTACTAGCAGTTGCGTCTTCACTCAGAATCATTTTTTGTGTAGAATGATTTTATATAATTGAATTCAAACTTAACACATCAATTACAGTGAAGCACGATACCTAAGGTACAGCAGAGCGGTACTCACATATCCACCTTTTTTTAAATTGTAATTTTTTATTTCCCTCATAGACATTTACAAGATATTTACAAGATTATAAAGAAAAAGATACATATTATGTATTATTACTGAGTACATTGATAAAATGTAGGTTGTAGGTGCTAGACTGAAAATAAAACTATCACTATCACTAATACACTGTACTAATAAGAAAAAATTAAAATTGGAAATTTAACACTGATTACTGATTAGGAACAGATTGGAATTTCGGACCGGCCCGGGAAAATAACTTTTTATTGAACCACTAGCCAGTCATGTATTAGTGTTGTAGGTTTTGAGGGGCAAGTGTGTCATACTGAAAATGTTAATTTTTTTTATTCCTTTAGATGTTATGATGTATTCATTGTTACTACAAAACGTATTTTATATGAAAATATATTAGTTAGGTTTGCATAGACAGATATAAGATACCTAGTTGTAATTAGATGTAATTTTTAGTTAAAAATCACTTGGCCTACCTTAAATATATGTCTAGGTACTATTTGAAAAATACTACAATATAACTATTTACTTACATACTAAAACATATCTTACCAATAGACAATATTAATAATACACTATTACATATTAGTATAAAAGAAACGGATTAATAAAATAATCCTTTAACGGCTTTAACAATAAAATGTGTTATAGATTTTACTGCCCACGGAGGTTGATTTTTTTTATTACAGTTTTTGTTATTTCTTATTTTTCAGTTTTTGTTATACTGTTATATGTAATAATATTTATTATTCTTATTAGCTATTGCCTATTGGCCTGTTGCTTTCTAGTTTGTTGTTTTGTAAATTTTAATTTTTGATATGAGAAAATTTACAAGATACCAATAAAAAATAAAATTTAAAACTGCCTATACCTAATTGTTAGTTTGCGATAGCCAACAGACTACAGCTGCCACAGTGGTCTGAAAGATGGTTAATTTGATGACAGATGAGGTGGCCAAAAGAACTATTTTTAAAACTAAAAACATACTGTGCACTGTGCAGTATTTTTGTACAGTTATTATATAGTCCCAAGACCTAAATGTCATAATGACATATTATTTTTTCTTGTTAATTACTTTTTTTTTTTTTTTAGTATTTGCTATACTTTGTTGTTGAAATATTAAGTTTCTTAATGGTTTTAGAACTTTGGAGGAATGATACTTAAATTTATGCAGTTTTACCAATTGTTCAATGTATACATATTGTAAAGGAAATTGATAGCTAATTAAAAATATTGTCATTTACAAGTAATTTACAAAATGGTTTCTTTAAATAAATATAATGTACCATTGTTAAAACCACGTTAATAATAGCAATAATAAAAAAAAAAAAAATTAAATTAAAATAAAATAATAATATTATGTCATTAGGTATTACATTTGGGACACATTATGATAACTGTACAAAAAAAATTATATTTTTATTGTGAGATAATTAAATAATATAAAAATATATTAAAGTTTAAAAATATCAATCAAGTAATGTATATATTTTATACAGAGAGCTCTATAATTCAAGTTTATGTTAATTAATTTATCTGAAATTCTATATTTAGCCACAGAATTGTAAAGATAATCTATTGAAAAAAAAACAAAATTTTTTTTAGTTTTAAAAACAGTACTATGGGCCACCTAAAATTGTCTTTCAGACCACTGTGATATTACAGCAGTTGAGTTTTGAAATGCATGCTGTGGTCCCGTCAAATGGTTAGTAAACGATCCATTGGGAATTCCCAGTGGTCCAATCCGTCCCTGTTAGTGATTTTACCTAAATATAATATTTTGTAATTTTTTAACAGTATCCATTGGAACTAATTTTGAAAAAAATATTGTTCAATAGATGTAATACACACAATCTGATAATCAATAAAAATACTTAACAACTGACCTCGATATCTGATGAACCAAGATTATGGATTGCAGATACCATAAATACATCTTTAAAGTTTTCCCAACCAATAGACTGCGTAATTTTTTTCCCCAACATCCTCTCTTGAATTTTTAAGCTTTCATGGGTTCTTCTTTTTTCGGGTGTCATAGTGTATGGCTCAGGAATATGAATGTTGTTATGTTTATAACATGTTAAAGACCGTGCCAAATCTAAGAGATAGCTTTTAGATTTTAAAAGATCGATCTAAAACAAAATAATTTTTTGTTTATAAATTAGTGAATACAATATAATTATTTAGTATATACAGTGAAACTTCTAAACTTTAAATTACAGTCCCATGTGTGACAAAAAAAAAATCGCTTTATAGAAAAATTTGGTGAACAGAATACAAATATTTGGTTCTATACTCCGGCCCTCTATATATAGCCCAGACTATATTACGTATCATAACAAGGGCCAAAATATAGGTAGCCCGGGTCATGCCACAACTCACAAAATTATTGAAAATAATACTACATGGTTATAAGATTATAATTTAGGAGTATTCGGGTATAAAAGTCAATCTCATCTCATCTTATCACACTCAACGTACACAATGCATTATGCATTTATGCAACTGAATAATGACTTATAAAATACCTAGTTAATCTATATTTTGCATATTTTATCAGGTGGATTATGAATTATGAAGCACCTAAGGGCCAGTTGTACAGTCTACAATTAAACATCAATTACACTTAATCAGCTGATAACAGATATTTAACCTGGCAAATTTGGCCAATTAAACACCGGTTAACTTTAATCGGAGATGGTACAACTGGCCCTAAGTATTTCATGAAAAATAACAACATACGTGGAGAACCATTGCAATTTCAGGGGGGGGGGGCGCTAACATTTTTAACTTCAATATGAATTTGTGAGCTGTCCTGGATTAAAAACTGTATATTTAAGGGGGGCTGATGGGATATTTGGCAGGCAAAGCCCCCCTGCTGCACAATTTTAAAACACAGAAATCAAAATTCTTATCAAAACAAACTTTTATACATAATATTTTGTAACAATTTATGCGGAATTTTTTCTATCCAGTCCTCTTTGGAATCACACAATTATTTCAGGAGTTATCACACTGCACACAGCAACTACACAGTGTTAAGCCTGAAATACTTTACAAAAACAATTATCCTGAAAAGTTATGAAAAATAGAGATAATGTATTTTTGCAATGTACTGGTGCAAAAACACAGGCATTATAAAAGCCTTTTTATTGTTACATATTATGTAAATTAAAATATATTATGTAATTTAAAATAATATAATATATAGGTAATACATAGATAAGTACTGTTTTATTTTAAGACTGTGATCTGCAAAACTCTTATAAAATTATAAGTGTTTATTAAAAACCACTGGTCTAGACTAATAAAATAAACATAAGTACAAGGAATATTTTATTACTAAAGGAAAAGCTATGTGTTCATTATCAAATTTTTAAGTTGATATATATATTTACTTACTTTATTTAGTACTAGAAATGAATCTTTGTTAGGATAAAGATGTAAAAGCCTCAAAACTTTGGGATCTAAATGGTTCCTTGTATACCGATTGGACACATCATGAATTACACCAATTATATCTGCTTCTTCGATTGAGTTTACTGAATCATTAGCAAATGTCCTTTCTAAATTATACCTATAGCAATGGTAAGGTGTGTATGATAATATGATTAGTTAATAATTTGTCATAGTAGTGTTTTCATTTAAAAATGATGATTACTTTGCAATTTCTGTAGAGTCTACAAGACCAGGAGTGTCTAAAAATACTAATTGCGTATCATCCACACTTCGTACTGCACGGACACTAGATCTTGTAGTGTGAACTTTACAAGAATAAGGACATATCTACAAAACAGAGTTGCGCAAATTATCAGGTATAATATGATTTTGAGTTTATTAACTAAATTCATCTAAATAGGTATCCAAACACTTGTGTATTATAAGTTTATAACACTTGTTTATACCTATTAATTTTGACAGTACTTACATTTCTCCGGACAATAGAATTGATTATAGAACTTTTTCCGGCATTTGGTACACCTATGATGGCTATTTTCAACAGACGCTGACGCTTAATTTCTATGAAATCATTCTCGTTTTGGTTGTCACTGTTGCTATGACATTGTTCTGGGTTTGAACTATACTTACATTTCAATAACGTATAAACACGGTTCGGTACTGTAATTGGTTTTAAGCCAATTGAAAGAAAAATGGTACCAAAATACTTAGCCATTAGATAGAAATATCAAATTAGATGTTCACAATTGAGTTCTTCAATGTTTAAACTAAGTACCTACGTTTTGTTATATTTCAAAGAACTGCACAATAAGACACAAGCATTTTATGAGAATTGAAAATTAATAATATAAAAATGAAAAAGAACCATAACTATGTGATTCAACATCCAACATTTACAAATTTGAATGAAAATAATAATAATAGATAAAAAGTTTACCGGCTATCACTTATTGTTGTAGTGATAACCGCGAACAGGATTTAATATGGGTCGCTACCTTTTGTTCCAAAAAATATTTGTTCCAATGTTGTTATCTTAAATCACTTCTGGGAAAGTGAATCTACTTGGTGAATGCCGAATGGGTAGGTAAAAATAAGGGGCTAAAATTCCCAGATGATTTCAAAAGCGCAGGGAAAATCAAAGAAAAATTTAGAATTTTTACTCAAAATAGGTTTTATTAATTTCATGGAATGGCAAACGATATCCAAACAAGTATCAAAATGTAATTTAAAATTGGATGAATTATCGCATTGTCAGTACTCAGTACAATAAAACCATAGGTAGGTATCTAACTCAAAAAAGCAAATGTTCAGGAAATTAAAATGAAAGTTTTTCATCAAATAAAAAATAATGTTAGTATTTTAAATTATATTTTGTTTTTTTAAAAATAAATTTTATATTTACATACAATTATCATAAATTACTTTCATAATTCATAATTGTATATTTGTATGATATAGATATTTATCAGGGCTTGAAAAATATGATATAATAATGTTATATGATTATAACGTTATAATTGACAAAAAAACGGTTGAAAGTTGTAAACGTATTTAATTATAACGAAAAGCCATAATCAAAAGAAATTAAATAGGTAAAGGTCAGGTGGGGTAACAGCGACGTGGTTTTGCAAAATCTCAGTTTAATGGAATATACCATCTTACTGTACCCTTACGTGGAACATAGTTTTATATCATCCATTAATGAATGTACCAGGAATTCAAATTTGTATTCAAAAATGTGTTTTGATAAATTTTTAGTTGAAAAAAAATTATTCAAAAAAAAATATCGCACTTTCCCTGCTACCGGGGTAAGTGAAAACTGGAACTTTTAATGCAGTTGTATACAAGTTATTCCTCGGCCGGGGCGCGTATTAGGAAACCCAGGACGCCACAGAGCGTCTTATGTTTACCACGTTCTCATTGGCCCATTTCAAATTGCCCGCTTTTTTTTTATCATTTATCAAATAATTTAATTTAATTTTATAATATAATATTAATTTAAATATTATATTATATTATTTAATTTAAACAAATTAAAATAACTATTTAGTAGGAAAAGGTACCTAACTAATATTAAACAATATTATTATGTTATTATAATTCAATAAATTAATGTAGAATGTGATCTATACACAGTTATTTTTATTTTTTACTTTAGTAGGTACCACGGATTAATATACATTAATATAAAGTATATTAATCCGTGGTAGGTACCTACCTCAGAGTGAACATTTCTTACCGGACTAAGTGTATTGTACTTAAACAGTTGTACACACCTTTTGTGTTAGCTAAAAAGATTGTCTAGGTTCTTCCTAACATAGAAACAAAATACCAATCTTACTTTATTTTTACTAAAACATAAAATTCTTAATTAAAAAAGGTAGGTACCTTACTAAAATGTCATGCTCTAACATTAATATAGGTATGTATTGTATTTTTAATAAAGACATAACTATTTTTAGAGGAACGAATTGAACTATATAGCGTTCAATGATTATTTTAATAATATATGGAATGGTAGCTACTGTGAAGCTAACGGTTTAAAAATCCAATTAAAGAAATTGTTGTAACTTCACATGAATGGTGCAAAAACAATTTTGGACGTCTAGTTTGGTAGTCAAGTTCATAGATGACTGAAAAGCCCTGTTATTATTTTCAATTTTATATTTGTAGATACACTACATTACTAGGTACCTACATCAGCAGTGGTTTATAAATAATATTTTTTTACACATTTATAATTTAACTAATTCAACCTTTTTAAAATGTTATGCAAGTATTAAGTAAACAAATATTAAGGTAGGTAAAAAATAATACATACATGTCTACCTACATAGTCAGAGGTAGGTAGGGGATACACGATCATTGAAAATATATAAATATTAAACAAAATAAAAAAAATTTTACAAACATTTAAAACTGTGAACATATTTTAAAGTATTTTTTTTTTTACTTTGATGACCACCTCGCATGTTAAATTTCTGTCAGTTGGGCTCTGAATGTGATTTAATTGTCCTGAATGTACAACATGACTCCCTAAATAACAAAAATTTACTAACAAAATTGAAAAATTTGACCTACCCGATAATACTATATAGGTGTTACAAGTTCCTATATAGATTATAATGACAATTATTATAAAATATACCATTAAATTTTATTATAAATTGATGAGGTAAATATTTTGAACTCAGATTTACCAATTATTTTAGCAAACGATTAAACAATTTGTTATTATATTACATTAAATTTTGTTTATTTTATGATGTAGGGAAGTTTATCTTCTACATCTACTAAGTTTATTATAAATTATAATCTAAATGTATCAAACTGATAACAGTATACCTAGTCACAAATAATAATATAATTTAATGTAATTCCAGTATAAAATTCATAATGAAGTCATGAAATATTAATTCGAATGAAAAAAAACTATGTAAAAACAATGAAAAATACATGTTATATGTTCAGTGACCTCTACCATGGGATTTTGCATTTGATTGTCCTAAATTAATGTTTTTTCATACTCAACATATTTTAAAGTATTTTTTTTTACTATGATGACCATGCGAGGCGC